GTATGTCTTTTCCTATCAAATGCGTCTCCTGTAGGCAGCATATTGTTGGGTCTTGTTTTGTGATCCATTCTACTAGCCTGTGTCTCTTAGTTGGTGAGTTTAAGCCATTAACATTTAGGGTTATTATTGAGATATGGGTTGTTCTTCCAGCCATATTTGTTTATTTCTGTTACTAAACATTGTTTGTTTTCCTCTTTGATTATACCCCCCCCCCTTTACTGTCCTACCTCCCACTGTTGGTTTTCATTGTTATTTTCCATTTCCTCTTCCTGTAATGCTTTGGCGAGGATGTTTTGAAGAGATGGTTTTCTAGCTGCGAATTCTTTAAACTTTTGTTTATCGTGGAAGGTTTTAATTTCATCCTCCATCCTGAAGCTTAATTTCGCTGGATACGCAATTCTTGGTTGGAACCCATTTTCTTTCAGTGTTTGAAATATGTTATTCCAGGATCTTCTAGCTTTCAGAGTCTGTGTTGAAAGATCAGCTGTTATCCTGATTGGCTTGCCCCTAAATGTAATCTGCTTCCTTTCTCTTGTAGCTTTTAAAATTCTCTCCTTATTCTGTATGTTGGGCATCTTCATTATAATGTGTCTAGGTGTGGATCTCTTATGATTTTGCACATTCGGCGTCCTGTAGGCTTCTAGGATTTGGGATTCTGTCTCATTCTTCAAGTCTGGGAAGTTTTCTTGTATTATTTCATTGAATAGACTGCTCATTCCTTTGGTTTGGAGCTCTGTACCTTCCTGTATCCCAATGACTCTTAAGTTTGGTCTCTTAATGTTATCCCATATTTCTTGGATGTTCTGCTCATGGTTTCTTAACAGTCTTGCTGAGCTGTCTATGTTCTTTTCCAGTTGAAATACTTTGTCTTCATTGTCTGATGTTCTATCTTCTAAGTGTTCTACTCTGCTGGTAGTATTCTCCATTGAGTTTTTAAGTTGGTTTATTGCTTCCTGCATTTCTAGCATTTCTGATTGCTTGTTTTTTATAACCTCTATCTCCCTGTATAGTTGATCCTTTGCTTCCTGGATTTGTTTGCGTAATTCGTTGTCGAAGTGATCTTTCATTGTCTGATTTTGCTGTTTAATGTCTTCCTTGATATTCCAGATCATCTGAAGCATGTATATCCTGAATTCTTTATCTGACATTCCATCTGCTGCAGCTGTTACCTCTTCTAAAGTTGTGTTGACCTGTTCTTGTTACCTTTCCTCATGGTTCGTTCTTGCCCTAAAGTCCCCATGATCTCAATTTTCCATTGATCAAGTCTTGTGCAGATCTCTTCAGGGCCCTTATCAACCAGCTGCCCCTCTCTCCAAAACCTGACTTAAGACTATTTCCAGGGCATATTTTCCACTACTCATGCAATACTTTCTAGTACCATTTGGACCTTGATTTTCCACCTCTAAGCCTTTGCGTGATTGTTGACCCCATAATATCCTTCTGTTGTCACTGCATTTAGCCAGTCATTACCATTTTTCCCGTTCCACTTAATCATCCACCTCATTCAGAGTCCTTTTCCTAATGAACAAAATGGACCACACATTGCAGAAGAAAATCTACATTTCATTGCTGGGCACAGTGGTGCCCATCTGAAATTCCAGTGACTCGGTAGGCTGAGGCAAGAGAATCACAAGTTTGAGGCCAGTCTGTGCATGTTAGCAAGACGCTGTCTCTAAATAATAATAAAAAAAAAAGGACTGGGGAAGTAACTCAGTGACAGAGTGTCCCTGGGTTCTACCCCCGTGACAAAAAACAAAAAAATTACCCTGTTATACACCTATTCAATATTGGGGCCTGCTGGGCACCAGGTGCTGGGAATATGATGATGAATAAAGACATCAGGGTCACTACTCTCATCTGTCTTACAGCTGGAAAGGGACAAAGCCACACACAAATGAGCAGTGACCAAGGCAATTTCTAAGAGTGGTGATAAGTGCTATGAAGAAGACTGTACAGTGCACATGAATGTGCACAAGAGCGTGGGAGCAGGATGGGCTGCTTTAGACCACTGGTCAGAGCAAGCCTCTCAAAAGATATCTAAAACCCAGGGAAACTGCCACCCCAAGATCTTGACAAAATGTCTCAGGAGATAAGAACAACAAGGGCCAGGTCTCTGGGGTGGGAATCATTTTATAACATTCAAGGAACTGAGAAAAGGCCAGTGTGGCCGGAGCACCCACACAGTCAGGGGACGGTTTATAGGTCAAGTTTGAGAGATAAGAAAAGGCCAGATCCTTTAGGGCCTTGCCAGCGTCTGGGTTTTGTTCTGAGCACAAGGCAGCAAACTTTTTCTTATTCCCTTTCTTCAGTTTCTTAAACTCAGGGGACTGCTTGGTCATTTTCACATTTTCAGAGTTCACGTGGCTGCCATTGATGGATGAGAGACAGGCAGGAAGGGCTGGTAGTGAGCTCTCACACCATCCTGAGGGGCATGGCAGTGACTAGGTGGTGTACTTGGTAGCAGCAGAGGTAAAAGAAGAAGGTAGAAAAGGGATCTGTTTGGGCCCCAAAAGGTTTCCTGTTGGGTTGGATGGCAACGGAATGAGAACAAAAATAAATGAAGTCTTGGTCAGACAAAGTAGCTCAGTAGTTTCACTTGACCACTATGCAGGGAAGCTCCCCCATGCCAAGCACTGTATCAGGAACTGGAGATTGGTGATGGAGTTATACATCATTTTTGCCACTGTTTACTTTTCTACATAATTTTGCTAATTCCTGTGTTTTAAATTTTGTCTTCCCATCTGGATCTAATAGCTCTTTGAGATCAGGCCTTGTGCCTGTCTTCTCCACTAAATCCAGCACAGTCTTAAACATGGCAAGATGTGTCCAGCAAGCACAGAGTTGATGGCTGAACCAGTACTTCAGTAATCTCACATATTCATGATTTTCTTGGTATCATACTTGCCTCCCCACCCAGGATATATGCCAAGGAATTACTTGCATACTCAAGGTGGAAATGAGTAACAAATATCCTCTTTTACTGCATGGCTTTGGAGCATAGCAGCATCATGAGATGAACAGCAGCACACACATCACACATATGCACAAACCAGCAATATTCCAGTCCCATCTCCTTCTCTAGTATTCATTGCCCACATCATTTCAAGACCCCCCTTGATGGTCTCAACTCTAAGCAAAACACACCAGCCCCTCCTGCACAAATCTCAGGGCCTTTCTTGTAGAGCACAGCTTCTCAGTCTCAGCACTACTGACACTTTGGACCAGATAATTCTTTACTCTTTACTGGGGAGGTAGGGCTATCCTATGTATCACATTAGTAGGTTATTTAGAGCCTTCCTGGCCTCTACCTACAAGATACTAGTTGTACACACCTTCAATTATGACAATAAAAAATGTCCAGACAGTTAGATAATGGTGATGGTGCATAAAGTCATGAACCACTGAATTATACATGTTAAAATAAGCATACTAGCTTTTTAAAAAACTGTTCAGACTCTCCCAAATGTCCCCCCAGGGTAGGGGAAATAATCAGCCCCACTTGAGAGCTACTGTTTTATAGAGATCTAATTTCCAAGTTCAAGTACCCTTTGCCTTAGCTTCCCTTTTTTCTCCCCACTTGCATTATAAAAACCTCTCTTCATATATTATCACTGCATTTGGCTACCACTGTCATCTTCTTGGGCTTTAGTTCTCTTGTTTCCCAGTTGTTCCAGACAGAGGATGCAGTAATAAGCCTGCACAGTACGCTCGTGTGCATGAACATGTCAGGTTGCCAGGTGTAATCGTGAAGATATTTTTACTTGTAAATAGTTGTGCATGTAATGTTGATATTTAATCTGTGCTATTAAAATAAGAGGGATTTTATTACCTAGTTAACCAGGTAAGTTCAAAGAGTCCCAGAGGTTTTTTTGTCTTTATGGTTCCTTGTAATATTTTTGTTATGATTTATTTATCTCTCAGTTTATCATTACCTTTCTGAGAACTTATTTTGAAGCATAATCCATGCTTGTTGAGTATTGACCAAACCTGTTTTATAAAAAAATTCCACCCTGAAGCAGTTAAAATAAGGTTGAAAAGAAAGTTTAATAAAAAAGCAATGGGATTATTGATATTTGGACAAAAGAGCTTTTGCCATTTTCACTGTGCTAACAAACCTCCAAAAATCTCAAGCCAAATGTTTTATAACACACCTTTTTTTTTCTTGTTCACTATTTCTAGAACATATTGCTCGCTCTACAAGGATGTGGTATTCCTGAATATCACACCAACTCACAATGCCCTAGTCAAAACAATTCTCATGGCCAAGCCCAAAGTCAGCTGGTGGGATCTATTCCTCTCCCCTGGGAAGGGATCTGCAAGAATAGGCCAAGTGTAAAGGGCTGGTGTGTTAGTCAGCTTCCAGTCACTGTGACAAAATACTTGAGAAAATCAACTTAAAGGAAAAGGTTTATTTTGGCTCATGTTTCAGAGGCTTCAGTTCAATGGTTGGCTCTGGTTTCTTTTGGATGCACTGTGAGTCTGTGCATCACAGTGGGGAGTCTGTGGTGGAACAAATCTGCTCACTTCCTGGCAGCCTGAAAGCAAACAAAGAGAAAGGGGCTAGAGTCCCAAAATCTCCTGTAAGGGCACACCCCCAGTGGCAACTGCCTTGGAGGACATGCCCCCAGTGACTTTCCTTACACTAGTCCCCACCTCCTAAATAGCTGTTCCACCACCTCCCAACACTGGCACTGAGGACCACACCTTTGGTGCACTGGCCTCTGGTAAGCAACTGAGACCCAAACCATAACAGTTGAGAAATATTTTTAATATAACCAATGACAATTTTTCACCATAAGCCTGGTGGAAACAATCTTGTACGTACACACACACACACACACACACATACAAAAAAAAAAAAAAAACTCTGTGATGTTTCTAGCTACAATACAAATGTAAATGTTTTGATCAGAATGGTTTGAATTTTGGTTTGGTGAACAATTTTTTCTGTATGACTTAACACCTACCAATGTTTCCTTTTAATTTTTTCCTTTCTTCAGAGAATCCGTGACTTAGAAGATAAAACAGACATTCAGAAAAGACAGATAAAGGACTTAGAAGAAAAGGTATGCGTCAAGTTCAATATCTGTTTTATCCTTTATTTATTTAATGAGAGAGTAGTATTGATTTTGCTCCCCGTGTCCTCTCTCTCTCTCTTCTCAGTTACTGTGGACCTGGCATAGGTAGGTGCAGGTACAGAAAATGTAGGACTCACCTGCAGTTAGGCCCAGGGTTCCATCAGAGGCTGGGGCACCAGTCACCCACCCTTGACATTTTTTTGTGTGTTGGTTGTTATTCTTTTCTGTGTTTTCTGTTTTTGTTTCTTGTTTTCATTTCCTTTCCAAAACTTTCTTCTGAATTTCGTTACTCCACTCTTTCTTTTGAAAATATTTTTAGCACCTTAAAAAAATCTTTCCCATTATTATTCATTAAAAGCCCTTTTATCCTTGTGCTATAGTTTTACTTCAACCGTGAGTTCAGAATCTTAGGCTGACACATGATAACTATGCCTCTTATCACTTTCTCTGAGATCTGAAAAAGAAAATGTTTCTTCCACGTCAATCAATGTTTGGGGGGAGCAAAACATAGGGATTCTGAAAGAGGTCACTTGGAAATGATTGTGTGTTGGGAGGAAGGCTGAGGCTCAGGAAGGGATGCTGTGAGTTTAACAGTCTTGCATAGTCAAACCTGTCCTCCCCAAAATACCAGGAGAGTCCCCCGGAGAAATACAAAAAGGACAGCAACGAGGTTTTCTCTAGCATCCCAGTCTTACTGAATGGAAGTGGCTACCTAAAACCCTGTATTTAAAAAGCATATGGCTATTTTTCAGCCTGTTCCATGGACACATAAGAGTAAAACAGCAAACCATCAGCCATTCCTGAGATAATTGTCAAGATTTGATTAATCTCAAATTGCTTTTATAGCTATCCTTATTTAGTGAGGTCATGGGGAAGGAGTGGATTGCAGTGGTCCGGCCACCAAGCACCAGATTGTTAAACAGGAGCTACTTCAGGAGCTCTTTTGACCTTGAGTGAATGACCACACTCCTTATGTCTAAGCCATTCCTAGAAAATAGGAATGCCAACATTTCTACTCACTTCTCATGGGTCCCATGAGTAACAAGGTCACATGTGAAAATTAGGAAATACTAAGAAAATTATCAGTCAGATTTAGAAGTATAATTAAAAAGAAATTTCTACTCCTAAAGTATACATAAAATTTTAAATTCAGATTTCCCGCTCAGAAGTGGTCTGTATAGTTCTGCAAAGGCAGAGGTAAACCAAGAACCATCTCTAATCTCCCAGTGACTGGTAGTAAGACCTACAGAAGGCAGTGTTACTCCCAGCTTCCCTGGGGTCAAAGACACATCTAACATTGTCCATTCATACACTTTCAAGTGGCCAGCCCTTGGCCATGCTTTGCTCATTAATAAACTTGCTGGGTATGGCTCAAGGAGAAATTTGATGTTAAGGCAGTTCTGCCCCCAAAACTTGATGATGCCATTCAGTCCCCATTTAGCTGAGGTTTAGAAAAGTGGGGAGGGAACTATATTTATCAATGTCACCACCTTAGCCCCTCTCTAAATAAATCCTATGCAAATTTGGGGAAAAAATGAATTAAGATTTTGTTCACTGTAAGAACATAATGTGAAAATGTTCCCAACCCTTTTGCTCAATACATTTTACTTTATTTATGAACTTCCTAAACATTCATTAACTTCCTAACAGAAAATAAGGACTGTAGTTATCAAAGCCACATACTGCACATGAGATGGTAAGCTAAGCCACTTCAAAAACATCCCAGTTGTTTCTGATTAGAGAGATGAATGAAAGATGAGATTTATATTGAACCTTCTATTCAGTTGGCCTCACTCTCACACACTCTCCAAAAGGCTAAACAGCATTTATGTCAGAGATACTCTCCATTCTTTCCCTTGGACTTTTTGATCACCTACTGAGAGTACATGGAATCCCTTCTTTGAGGCCCATTGCCATGCACACAGTTCGTATAAATCAGGTGATAGCAGCACACCTTACAAAATTACCTCAACTATGTCCAAAGCATAGTCCAAAGCATTTCCAAAGTCGTCATCTCATATGATCCTCATAATTACGAGACAGACACAGCAGATGTTCTGGTCCCTTTTTATATAGATAATAAAACAATGGATCAAAGAGATTAATAACTTGCCCAAGATTATGTAACTAATCTATGGGAAATCAAGACGAGAAGTCAGGGTGTGTGACTGACTCCAAGTGCCATGATCTGTCCACCATACTGCAGGGACCAAGAATTTCATCACAGATTAAGTGCAGACATCTGCTTATGACCAGAGAAGTAGCTATGATGTCAGACCTTCTCATAGTAATTGTGGGAAGCCTGCTGTTTTCTCTCCATCTCTAGCTTTCCCTGCTGTGGGTGTATCTTCCAGAATTTTTTTTTTAATGGATAAAATTTCTGCTTTTCAAAATTATGGAATAGTCACTAATACATGACCATGAGCACCATATTTATAACTTGTTTATACAATTTAGCCACAGTGAATCAAGAACCTTATAAGCAACAACAGTAAAGGGAATATGCAAATAGTATGTACACTATGAGAAGCCCATATCTGACCCTTAATCAAATATGCTGGAACCAACAGGATATTTCCAGTATGGGATAATTGAGCAAAAGACTTTTGGACTCAGTAATAAGTACATTACCAAGGAAATCAAAATGTTTTAAAACTCACCTATCCTATGACCTTTTATAATTAGCCTACAGTTGGTTGTACTCCAGTGCCACACAGTCTGTGTTTGTTCATCCAATTATTTGCTTTTCTAGTGAAAGTCCTCAGTAAAGAGAGATAAGTCAGACTTTATTTAATAATCGTGAGTCCATTAAGAAATGGTCTATACGAGAGGCACAATAGTGGGAACATCACACATTCATTATCTGACATGCCCATTGATGTAGGAGCATATTTCATACCAACAGGAGGTGTATAAACCCACACATACCAGGAATTCCCTATTGCCCCAATGTAATTACTAATAACAGCCCATTTCCCTATTAGAAGTATTTCACTGTGTATGATTAATCATATGTTTACTCCACATATTAATATTCTCTCTGCTGCACCTTGATTCTAAACCATCCCGTCAACCAGACAATGATAGTTTAATGTGTCGTTACATGTATATTCTGATCATATTTTATGTTTTTGAAATATTCTCCCATACATAGAAGATAAAGATACTGTAGGACTCGGGATATCTAGGTTCTAGTCTTCACTGTGGCACAAACTTGTGTGAAATTGAACTATTGATTTATTATACTTGTTTTACACATCTATAAAATTGGAGGCTTAGATCAAATATCTAGAAGACCTCATGCAATTCTAAATTATATGAATCAGCATTAAACTCTGGCATTGCTTTGCCAATAGATAAATGAAAGGTGTGAATTTTTGAAACAAAAAGGTACTTGTGCACATGAGAAATGGGAAGACCTGAGCAATGTGGAAATGCTTAGGTTTTGTACTACCTAAATGGATCTACAGAAATTCAGATTTACATAATCGTCTTCTTTTTCTTCTGCAGTTTCTGTTTCTATTCTTGTTCTTCTCTCTTGCCTTTATTCTATGGCCTTGATGTCAAGGTGCCTCTTAAAGGTAAGATTCCATTTAATTCTCAAAATGTGGTTTTAAGTGCTATCTGATAAGAACGGTGCTGCAAATAGTTATTCTGCTGGGTTTTTTTAAGAACAAATGCCCTTGGTTTGTTTAGCCAAAAAATGAGAAACATATCCAATCCATTTTAGTGACTATTAAAGACATAGAAGGGTTATGAAGTGGGAATTAAGGGTTGTTAGTGGGAATTAAGAATTTTTTCCAGTTATCTATATTACTTTGAGAAGTCACAGTGCCTTTAGATCATGGTGTTCTCATTAGCAATCTCCCATTAAATGGAAGAGTTGCTTCTGTATCTATAGGGTGAAGAAATAGGACTGTGGCTTTAGTATTTCTTCCAGCTTGAAGCTGCAAATTCTGCCAGGCATGGTGATACACACCAGTAATCTCAGCAATTCAGGAGGCTGAGACAGGAGGATGGCAAGTTCAAACCCAGCCTCAGAAACTAAGTGAGGCTCTAGGCAACTCAGCGAGACCCTGTCTCAATTTTTTTTTAAAGGCTGAGAGTGTGGCTCAATGGTTAAGAAGCACCCCTGGGTTCAGTCTCTAGTCTCCAATACCACCCCCAACTCCTGCAAAAAAAAAAAAAAAAGGAGAGAGAGAGAAAGAAAGAACAAAAATGCTGATTTTGAGAATTTAACAATCCAATAATGACTACATATATACATATATATATATATGTATATATGTATGTATATATTATATATGTATATATATGCATTATATATATATATATATATATATATATATTAGTTGTAGAATGACACAATACCTTTATTTATCTTTATGTGGTGCTGAGGATCAAACCCAGAGCCTCACATATGCTAGGTGAACACTTTATCACTGAGCCATAACCCCAGCCCATGACTACTGTTTTTTTAACCCTTTTCTAGTCCTCTTCATGGGACTTCAATGAAATAGACTATTAAGTGACATTAGATCTTGTTTTTAAATAAATTACATTTCAATGTCAATTTAGGAAGAAAAAATGGGACTTGCCATTACCAAGTCCATAACTCATAAACACATGCATGAGTAATCCTAGCCAGTGATTTCCAATGCTTAAAAATAACAGATTCCAAAGCCCTACTGCAGACTCAATGAATCAGGTCACTAAAAATGGAGTTGAGAAAGAGGGTAAAAAGTGGGAAGCAAGGATTGATTTGCATTTAACCAGTGTAACAGGTGATTCTGCTATCCAGCCAGGTATGGAAGCCATAAATCTTAATACATGGTTAAAAAGGAAGAAATTCTAGCTGCTATTCTAAAGCCATTTACCATGGTGCATGTCAGCTTTGATTATCCTAAGAAGTTATTGCTATATAAAGATCCTTCCTAGAACCCAGGTCATTTAACATTCTTTTCTAACAAGTTGAAAAATGGAAGAGA